CTCGTTGTCTCTGCACTGCCTGCGTCAACATTTAAGATCCAGTCTTAAATGAGCTGTAATATGGTCCAGTTAGCAATGTTAAAATAACACCATTCCGTCTCAGCCCATTTTCAAAATTTCAAGCTGAACCAATTGTAATCAGTGTCCTATTCAACTTTGAGCTTCTGATGCCAAAATGCCTAATTGATACTCCATCAGATAAATTCAGTATCTTATGAATTTTCTGTCTAGCTCTAACACAGAATCAAAAGTAAATGCAGATCACATGTATTCATTAAATAACGTCTCAAGTTCTGCTGCTGGGGATCTATAAAATGCTCTTGTAACATGCTCATAGAATCAGTACAGTGTGGAAGCAGGCCATTTGGCCCATCAAGTCCACACTGATCCTCTGAAGAGCATCCCATCCAAACTCACTCTCCCCACCCTATTCCTGTAACTCTGCATTTCCCATGGCTAATCCACCTCGCCTGCACATCCCTGGATAACTTAGCATGGCCAATCCACCCAATCTGCACATCTTTAGACTGTGGGAGGAAACTGGAGCACCCGGAGGAAACCCACACAGACACAGGGAGAATGCACAGACTCCACACAGAGAGTCGCCTGAGGGCGGAATTGAACCTGGTGCTGGGAGGCAGCAGTGCTAACCTCACAAAAAGTATGTCCATCGCTTGAAGTACATGTCTGCGGGCTGCTGCTGATCAGATTCCATAAAAGTTAGCAACCTGCCCCTAACATTAGCCAAAAGTTAGAAAGTTGTCAGCTTGACAATTATTGGCATTGGCTGACTTGCTGAGCCCTGCAACATTTAACTAGCCTCCAAGAGTACACACAATGCAACCACCACCTGCCTGGATAGGCAAATGAATTGGTGATAGGTTTGCTCTGAACATCCTCCAGAAGCTGATCTTCTGGCTTCACCCTGAATTTTTCAGAGATGACCTTCTTGCCTTTCCCATCTCTCAATCATCACCTACGTATCCATGACCACCATAGGAATGCCATTGTTCCAGCAACTGCTGCACCTCTTCGTTGCTCTAGATCATCTCTGATGAGCTGCCCCTCAACTGCATTATCAGAGATAGTGTTAGACACTAGGGCTTCAGGTGCATGCCAAATTTCCTTTGCACTTTTGAAAACACTCACCAAGACCATCCATTTTCTCCACCAATCCCAAAGTTTCAACTTTGTTTCCAGAATGGTAGATTTGTGAATATGTGAAACTTCTGCTCAGTGTTCGATACTTTTGTACAAAATTGTAAATATCTGTTACTTCAATCAAGTGATTTGTACCATGTAGCTAGTTCAGCTGCTTGGATGAGATGTTACAGTTGGGATCATACATCTCTGGTAGAATTTCACTGCTGCACCTAATTTCTGTTAAGTGCTTCCTTAATGACTTTAATTAGAGGTTACTTTTGGATGGGAGGTCACAGTTCCAGAGAAATCATATCTGGTAAAATAATGTAGAGATGGTTTCATGTTGGCTACTGATATGCCAAACATTAGCGTGAATTTTCTACCACCTTGACCAAGACTGAACTTTTATAACTGCATTTATTTCAGACTAATTAATAGAGATTGATTGTCACCATTAGTCAACAACTATTGTTGTAGCAGTTTGGTCAAATCTAGGTGGACTTCAATTTTGTTTCTACTAACCAAACAATCAACCAAGGGAGTGGGTGAAGCAGGAATAGGAGCTAATTCATCCTTTCTCACCCGGACCTTAACTGGTTGGGGTTCCCTGTCTGGAACCTCAGCCTGGTGGTAAGGCAGAGGCAATGGCCTAGTGGTATTATCGCTGGACTGTTAATCCAGAGACCTAGATAATGTTCTGGGGGTCCAAGTTTGAATCCCACCATGGCAGATGGTGGAATTTGAATTCAATAAAAATATCTGGAATTAAGAATCTAATGATGACCATGAGCCCATTGTTGATTGTTGGGAAAAACCCATCTGGTCACTAATGTCCTTTAAGGAAGGAAACTGCCATCCTTACCTGGTCTGGCCTACATGTGACTCCAGACCCACAGCAAAGTGGTTGACTCTAAATTGCCCTCTGGGCAATGAATGCTACTGGTCAGCAATGCCCTCATCCCATGAATGAATAAATGAACACACCAAATAATTCATTTATCTCATTACTGCTGGTGGGACAGAACTGAATGCATTTTGATTGGAGTTATAGTCAGAGAAAGGGGGAAAATCTTTAATGTTCTGGGGATGGACCACCTTGACTAATATACAATATTACACAGTCATTGTTCTATATAATGCTATTATGTTCTTTATCATTGCAATTCACATCAGTATGAAAGGGAAAAACATTTGCCAAATAGTTTGGAATAGTGAAAGCTTAAAATGAGCTTAAAATGGATTGCTTCCAACAACAGACTATAACACAATCTCAGGAGTAGGATTCTGCACTTCGAGAAAGGGCAGCAATATATTCTTCAAACACATTTAAATTCAATTTATGCAAGACTACATTTTTGTACTTACTTTGTCAAAAAATATTGCATCTTAATTCTAATCCACATTATGCATAACACAGGAACAGGGAGTCGGCCATTCGGCCCCTTGAGTCGGTTCTGCCATTCAATGAGATCATATCTGATCTATGGTCTAAATTCATATCATACAATCATATAATCCCTACAGTGTGGAAGTAGGTCATTTGGCCCATTGAGTCCATACTGCTTCTCCAAAGATCATCCTACCCAGACCCAAACCCCCACCCTATCCCATATCACTGCATTTCCCATGGCTAACCCACTTAGCCTGCACATCCCTGGACACTATTGGGCAATTTAGCATGGCCACCCCACCTAACCTGCACATCTTTGGACAGGATATAACCACCTGTGACTTGAAGGGCCTGTTTCCACACAGTAGGGATTCTATGATCTAAAACAATCCTTGATAACCATAAATGTGAAGCTATGATGTGGAGGTGCTGGCGTTGGACTGGGGTGGACAAGGTCAGAAATCACACGACGCCAGGTTATAGTCCAACAGGTTTATTTGAAAACTCGGGTTTTCCGAGCTTCAGTTGACTAAGGAGCAGCTCTTCCAAAGCTTGGGATTTCAAATAAACCTGTTGGACTATAAGGTAAATGTGAAGATGATTCAGGAGTTGGTAAGACTCTCACTGTCTGAGTTAATTGTAGGTGCACATCTCATCCCCTCAGGGCTCGCTGATCATTCAGCTCAAAGCTAAAACTGTCTGACCATTGAGATAACAAGGTGCAGGGCTGGATGAACACAGCAGGCCAAGCAGCATCATAGGAGCAGAGAGGCTGACGTTTCGGGCCTAGACCCTTCATCAGAAAAGGGTCTAGGC